GGGGACGCAGAAAGCACCCCCCGGTGCCTTGGAAATGACGTTTGTAGCTTCCGGTGAAAGCGACGGCTTTCCGAATTAACCGTTGGGGTTTTATCCCGGGGGCTGGGCTAGATGACCTTTAAAGGTCCCTTCCAACCCAAACCATTCTGTGATTCCATGATTCTGGCCGGGACGAGTAAAGCTTTTAATGAAGAACAAGCTGATAATTCTGAATGCTTTGTTGTAATTCTTACACTAACTCGTGCCAAAGCATTCACACTCCTCCTTCTGCAGCCAGACGTTTGTTTATGTGGGTGATACTTGCACAGCAGGATAAAACCCCTGAGTAAGAGGTGGTGCAACAAGCTGAAATGAGCTATATAGAACAGGGTTGCTCTGGCTGCCTATACGAAAAGGGATCCTCCCTTCCCTCTCAATTTGTTAATCCTAATTTTCTTCTTTGTTCCCCACCCCTTACCTCATGAAAGCAGATATTGCACGATTCTTTGGTCTTCTGTATCTGCTGGGATTCCTGCATCTGCGGTGTGGTTTGTATCTGGAAGGGCAGAACCATGGCTGTGTATTTCCGGAAGCATCCCCTGGAGATTCCTCTGCCATCTGAAAAGGACTGGCTAAAGGAAGATGAGGAAGATTTCTTTCAGCTGGATCCTGATCGAAAGAGTGAAGTGTTACCTCAGCCCTTCAGGATGATCAACAAACTGGTGATGATGGTCTTTGAAAATGCGATGGAAATTATTGAAAGAAAGGAGTTGCTCCAAGAAGCACAAAAACTAAAGGTCCAGCCCACAAAATGCTTTCCTACAGCTGAATTCCAGGTACGGAGCCCCTGGCAGCAGAGATAGCATTAATCACCATAGCAGATTTTCTAGAGAATATCCGTTCAGTTGATTTTATATTCCTCTGCTCATCACCTTCCTCAGAATCCACCACCATCTCACTGACTGACTTCAAAAGGTTGCAGCTTCTAAGCTTGTCTGACAGGTTCTTGTTCCCACCCAGCTATCACACCTCTCTGAAAAGAGAGAAGCAGGTGTTAAAGAGACTTAAATTCACCTTCTGCTTCTCAGGCTGGCTCCACCCTTGTTTACTGAGGAGAAGGCGATTAGTCCCTAGCATAAAAAACAGACAAACTCAACTCTGTGGTGAATATCTGAATATATGGTGAATACTCCAACAGGAGTGTCATGAGCAGAAAGGCAGCACTGCCTTCCCCACTGTTACATGGTGGAAGCCAGGAGGATGCGCTGACGTCTGCAGGTGTCCTGCCATTGCCTGGAGAAGCTCAGCTGCAGCTCTGCCTTAGCAGGGGGAGGGCTCAGTGCTACTGAGTTCTTGGCCTTTAAATTCTGTCCATTGGGAGCGAAAAGGCAGGAGCAAATGAGAGCTCCTCCCTTGCTCGTTCAATGCAGCCTCATGCAAAAATGTGTCCCTTGTAGATAAAATGAGCATTTTCTGCTGGTGAAAGGCTAGGAGTATGTCCTCAGTATGGGTGGTGTATCCTCCTCTGAGCAAGCCATTCTCTTTCTTGGTAGGTAACTGGAAGAGCCAATTGCCTTGTGGTGTCAGGAAAATACATCTTTGTTGGCCTGTCCATGGGTCTGGCTGCCTTCAGGGTGTCTGACTGTAAGGAAGTCTGTGTTTGGGATGCAGCCCAGACGGAGTTTTGTGCCATCCATGCTTCGGATTTGGGGAATGAGCGCCACGTCCTGCTTGCTGTGGATGAAATGGGTTAGTGTGATGTGGATTTCCTTGGCCTCGCTGGGAACAGCCATGCTCTGGAGCAGAACTGGCAGCTGCATTATGGAAGAATGCTAAATCAGGAGGAGCGTTAGGATGACTGACAGGTTTCCTAGAAGGCCCTGCAAAGAGGGCATTTGGTAACAGGTCGTAGGGTGATAGAGTGATTAGTAGAGGGTGTGGGTTTGGTGTCCTCTTTGGAACAGCAGAGGCAGGTAAGAGCTGAGAGACCAGTACATTTTAGGAACACCTGGACCAGACAGAAGGAACCATTGCTAGGCATGACCTCCAGCGTGCATTTGGTTTCAGCATCTGTAGTTACACAGCCCCTTGGTAAATAGGTTGGTTTCTTGATTCATCTGAAACCTGCCAATTCTGGTGGCGATACTGCTCAAACAGGATGATCCATCTCTATGTACAATCGAGTGTTTGCTGGTGCAGGCATAAGGAAGCCAGTGAAATTTAGTGCTGGAAGCAGTAGGATATTATTCCTTCAGCCCAGAAAAAAGGGTAGCCCTGTTCACTCTCTTGCACATGTTGTAGCAGTGTTTTGCCAATGACCGGGCCCAACAAAAATGATAACACCAGCAGGGAGATGAACCAATACGCAGACTGTATTGTAGACAGAAATGTTACTGTGTGAATTACCGCCAGGGGTACAAACAGGTCAACAAGCTCAGACATGATCAACACCACCCCCAATGCCCCCACAAACAACATGACCCGGCCCTAAACATGTGGTACAAACAGAGACCCGAGGATGCCCACAGTTGGCATGGGAAACAGCCAGAGCAGCCAGTTAAACACGTAAGAAAAGGTGCCCACATGGCGACTCTCACCCGATCGGCCCGTGTTCACAAAGGCCTAAACAGACCAGGGCCCAGCTCCAGGAGAGTCAGGAGGTCTGCCCTGAACCAGGCAGCTCTGGGGAGTGCACTCCACAGACAGACACTCCTGACTCCCTGCCAGTGGTCCCAGCTTTTATCCCCAAGCAGACCCCTGACCTTTGTCAGCTCCCTGCGGGACCCCTGGGGCTCATTTCCCTTCTGGCGCGCCCGGCAGGCCCGGCCGCACCCTGGGGGGAAGCTCTAAGGCAAACTCACCACCTCTGTATGAAGGGCTGTGGGAATCACCCATATGGCAACCTTAATTCAGGGGCTTGGGGTTCAAACCCCAGCATTTCAAGCAGCCATCTCCCAAGACCATGGCTACCATCTGTTCACTTTTCTCCTGCTAGTACTGTTACTTTTCTATTTCTATTCCAGGTCTTGTCTGCCTCTTCTGCTTTCACAGGGAAAGCTTCCTACTCATTAAGATCCTAAATGAAATGGTAAGTACTGAGTTCCTGTCATAGACACTGGGCAAAGGCTGGTAAGTAACCAATCATGAGGAGTACTAATTGCCCTCAGGAATTTCTGTCATTAGGAGCAGCACTCCAAAAGTGCTACTCAGTATCTATTCCTGTTCTTCCAACAATCTGTTTGCCCTTCACCCTGTTGAGAACTGTGTAAGGCCCCGAGTAGGTGATCATGTTTTGATACCAGCCTGTTTTCCTTGGGCAGGAGGATGTCAGCAAGCGAAATACTTGTGTGGAAGTGGTGCTGTCCCCAGGAGGTGATTACACAGGAGTCCTGCTGCAAGGCAAGTGCAAGAATGTGGTGTGTTGGGTGTCAGCTGTTGCATTCTAGTAGCATTGCCAGCAGCAATGCTTTTAAAATGCTCAAAATGTTCCATGTTCCTAGGGATCCTGTTCCTAACCCTCCTTGTCCCTCCTCCAGCTTACAGAGCTGCAGCTCTCTGTCCTCTCTAAGAGGCTTGGTGTGGATCAAGACTGATCCTAAAAGCAAACTGCCTTGAACTGGTCAGTGCAGTTCCCAGCTCTTAGAAGGCTCAGTGAAAACAGGTTTCCTGCTCCTTTCCAGAAGTGTCACACTCAGTTCTTCCTCTGGTTCCCTATAGCTCACTTTTCTCTGCAGGCATAAGCCAGACAGCATGGAGACAGTCTCTGAAAACACTACAGCAGACTTCTTGCTATGATATTCTTCTGCTTCATGACAGCTGCCTTTGTTGACCCATTTGCTGCTAGCAGGTTTTCTGAACCCCTCTTTGGTGGAATCTGCCTGGACATATGCTGAGAATGAGCTATGTAGCATCCACAGAGAACCAGTGTGAGACCATTTCTCACTTTCTACTTTACCTCCAGAGGCTACAAGTCAAATTCTTTGACTGGGTTGCTTCATGGAATTTTTTTGGTAGATATCAGACTTCAAGGACCTGAGCAGGAGGCTGAGAAGTCAGTCTCAGTCAAGCATGTGAAGCCTTAAGTGGGAGGAGAGGTGGGCTGCATGGAGTTTACAAGGATTTTATATTTCCCAAAACATCTACATCTTGTTTGAAGGCTGCCTGCTTGAAAGACCCTTTCTCCTCATTTCCAATTGCTCAATGTTGTTTCCTGATGCAGACAGCAGGAAAGCTTGGCTGGACATCTACCAATTGCCTAAGGATTCTTGGCTGAAGGAGATGGAAAAGAACCCCACAGCAGGGCTGACTTGCAGGGAGAAGAGGTCAAGCTGGACATCTGTGGTACAAAACAATTCCATCTCCCACTGTGCCTTTTTTCTTACACCCTTTTGCCTACAGGTCTGTCCCCAAGCCTTGTTCCTGCAGACAGTGACAGCAGGATACAGGCTGAACAAGTCTGTCAGCCCAGGGGGATGGTGTGTATGCTTCTACAGCTGCTGCAGCTGCCCAGCCCACATTTCACAAGGCCTGTTTGCTACTGGGACATGTTTACTATCTTAGGACAGCCTTTCCAATGAGGTTCCCCTGGTCCCAGGGCTAGTGTTCCTGCTGCCCCTCCTTGAAAGGGGCAGCTCCTTTGCCAGCACTGTTGCCCCATCTGAGGAGGCCCTGTTTAAGGGTATTCTCACAGCCCTTTTCCCTTATGTTCCTGGGGAGAGGTGAAGGAGTGGGAATTGGATCTGAGACCTCCACTTAGGAGTCTGTTCCTGAACCAGGGTTTGTGTTTTAGGCTGTGTACAGGAGGTGGCTGTTTGGGTCAGGGCTGAACCTGCCTGAGCTGAGCAGGCCAGGGTCTCTGCCTGTTCACACTAACCACTGCCTCCTCTGGTTCTTTTGGCAGAAAAGTCTGGAGCTGCATGGAGACAGTTCTGCAGAGATGGTAACTGGCCCCAGTGAATGTCCTGAGCTGTTATGGGGAATTTTAAATGCCAAATCAGTGCTTAACTCTCTCTTGCATCGCTTTCACCCTGCTAGATTTCACCTCTCAACACACAGGAATCTTCTGCCCAGCAGCTCCAGCTGGCCCCTTGCAATACCTGCCTCATAACTCTTCCCTTCTCCTTCAACAGAAACTTTCCTGCCCACTTAAGAGGGAGCTGCTTCTCAGACTTGTCTTCAGGGCAAACACCCCCTTAAGCTGGCCAAGCCAAAAGCAAATAGCCAGGCATTCCCTCCGTGCTGATTCCACATAAACTACCCCTGTTCCTCTCTCTTCCTTTTCAGACATGGTTGATTATTTAGCCAGGTCTTTTCTATTTGGCCAAGTGTCAGTATGTGTAGGTGAGGTGGTGGTGAAAGTGGTGGGGGGACACCAGTGCTAGGCTCCTGGCAGGATTTTCCATTGTTAGACAAGCACCTATGTGACCTCCTCCCATCCTGGGCTCTCTGAAGTAAGACTTTTCTTGTATTCAGCAGCACTCTGCAACCTTTAGTCCTGCTTCTTTCTTTCTCTCTCTTTTTTTTCTGAGCTTTGCTGTGCCCCACCCAGGGCTGTGCTGCAGCAAGAGTAGTTCGGAGAGACTGGTAAAATCAGAAGTGGAGGTTGTTTAGGGCACAAAGACAGCAGTTGTCTGTGCAGAACATCCTTTGTAATGTTGTTGAAAAAGCAGTGACCTCCCTCAAGCTTCTGTGTTTTGGCCTGAAGAATGAGCCTAAACTTAGTATTTTCCAGGCAGTGCCAGCCAAGCTTTGCAAACACTTCAGGAAGCGTTTAATTCCCATGAACAGGGGAAAACTTAGCAGTGTGGGGCACAGCACTGTTCTCAGGCTGATGGTTTTCTGTTGCAGGAGCCTCCTGTGTCTGCAAACAAAGCTGATGCAAAGCTGAGTCTCCCAGTGCTGCTGCTGAAGGTGAAACCACCCAAACCCATTACAGGTCAGGACTGGTTCTGTACTTGTAACCTGCAGCTTTCATCAGGTGGCAAGGGAATCGTGGCCCTTATGGCTACAGGACAGGTCAGAAAGATTCAGTAACGTGCTTCCTGGTCCCTTCCTGACTTGTGTTTGTAGTTACATGTAATCCTGTAGTGGGAGCTGCTTCTTACCCAACCATCTCACGTGTCACCTTTGTTGGCTCAAAATATTTCAATGTGTCTCAAAGTGGGTGTCATGCACCCTCGACTTCGTTGTCACCAGAAGGGTAGGAGGTTGTTTCCCAGATCCTAGCAACCTGGCAGCACCCCTAGTTTGCCACTCTGAATCTTGGACTCACAGGAAAATGCTGTGGGTGGCGAGGGAGCAGAGCTTATCCTGGGACACTGTCAGGGAGAATGCCACAAAGGGAAGGTGAGCTGGCTCCTCAGGTGACTTGCCCTAGTCCCTGCCTTCAAATACTGGAAAATGGGCTAGTGATCTGGAAAGTCCCACAGGATAGATTTGTAATGTTGAAATATTTCTCCCAGGAAGATGCAGTGTGTCCCTCTGCAAGACCATGCCACCCTAAAGGAGGGGTGGTCACAATGCCTCTGAGCACTCCATGGTGTCTGCTCCTCCAGGGCTGTGCCTTTGCCTTTTGTGTTCCCAATCCAGGCAGTACTTTTACAAGCCCTGTGGATGCCTTGAAGAATGTGGATGATGGCAGCATGCTTGGCTTGGGGTACAATCACCTGATCAAGGACTCCCAGTGGCAGCAGCAGGGAGCAAATTTCCCGCAGGCCTATACAGGGGGGTCACAGTGCCTCTGAGCACTCCATGGTGTCTGCTACTCCAGGGCTGTGCCTTTTGTGTTCCCAATCCAGGCAGTACTTTTACAAGCCCTGTGGATGCCTTGAAGAATGTGGATGATGGCAGCATGCTTGGCTTGGGGTACAATCACCTGATCAAGGACTCCCAGTGGCAGCAGCAGGAAGCAATTTTCCGCAGGACTTATCAGGAGTATCTGGAGGCTGAGGGTGAGAGAGAGAGCAAGGAGGAGATGCCCAGGTGAGTGGGAGCACCAGCCTGGATTTCAGTTCATGAGACTTCAACACAGGGCACTTTTCAAGTGCAGATGCAAGCCTCTGTCTTAGCTTTGTCTCCTTCATCCCAAAGCTTCAGGGCAGGGGCCTAGAGCCATTCCAGGTCTTGTCACAGTGCTGCCTACTTATCCAGACCTTTCTTTACATGTATTTCTTACCTCTCTTTTTTTTTCAGGCATGCTACTTTTCATTTTCTCTTGCCTAGCCAGATCCTACAGGTGGGACCTGAAATAAAAGTCCAGCCAGGTAATTCAAAAGGGCAAAACAAGTGTTAACCTAGGAAGCACATTGCATGACACTGAGCTCCAGTTAGAGCTATTAGCTCTGGCTTGGGTTCACTAGATAAATTCTGTTTCCAAGGGTGTAATAAAAGCCTGAATGAAAATGTCAGCCCTGAGACTTTTAAGTTAGTCACTGGCATGGAGTCAAACAAACTTGTGTCCGTAGTTAAAAAAGAAGCAAACAACACAGGAAACCCCCAAAACACCAGAGCAGATGAGGGTACATATGGACAAGATAAAAATAAAAGATAAGGGGACAGTTTATTGTGGTTTAATTTCTGTGTGAGCAAAATTTCTATAAGTCCTGTCAAGGAAATCACAAGAGCTCTAATGAGATCTTTCTAATGGTATTTTGGTGCCCTGGATTGTTTCTTTCTTTGTTCCCAGTCTCCTTTTTTTGTGATCCTCTTCTCTGTACCAGATGTTCCAGCTGGCATCAGTGTACACTGGGATGGAAGCCACAATCTCTGTTTCTACTTACTTAACCGTCCACTCAAGGAGAAAGTTGGTAAGTAAGTCTTGCTTTGCCTGGCAGAGCACTCAGTGGGCAGTGGCTCTCATTCAGCCTGAATCATTCTTCATGATTCAGGGTAATGAGGAATGAGGGGAACAGCTGCCTCTGTCCTGTGGGTTAGGCTGACACTTGGACTGTGGGTCTCCATGTTGCACACACTGGCAGTATTTTGAGTGAAGCCACTCTGGCAGGAGACCCCAGAATGGTGTGTTCTGTTTTACTGGGAAACTGGAAGCTGGTACCATGAGAGACAATGCTCTGCACCTTCTTACAGTTACCTCTCTTCATGTCCTGTTTAGATTCTGACCCAAAACCTGATGTTGTGTGGCCATGTGCAGCTCCCATTGCATGCTCAGCTGTCAGCTCCTGCTCCAGGTACCTGGCGCTGGCATGTGAAGATGCAACAATAACTATTTGGGATAAACATCTCGGTGAGCTTGTCCTTGGGGACTGTGCATTGGGGTCATGGTGCATAAATTGCTCCCTCCCCTAGAATCTTGAGGCTCTGGCGTGGTGTGAACAGGGAACTTGCTGTGAGTTTACAAGCAAATCTGAAAACAGTTTGGACTCGCTTCTCCGTGGATGCTGGGCCAGAAGTTGCCAATGCAGTGTGAGTGCCTCAGCCCTGGGAGAGCTGCTCCTGCCCGCAGCAGTGAGGGGCTGTGAACCCCCACGGCCAGGACTGGTCCCTGTCTTGTCCTGAAGCTCTGAGACAGCCCCTGCGTTGCCACTGCACCCTCAGCTCCTCTTGGAGGCTGCGTGGTGTCACAGTCCAAGCTGACATCAGTGCTAGTGCCATCCTGCCATGATGCAGGGATTCTCCTGGCAGAAGAATCTTCTGCCAGCAGGATTGTTCTGGTGGCTGCTGCTCCTGGGCAGGCCACTCTCCAAGCTAAGCTTTCCTTGGATAAATTCCCATTTTTTTTTCTTCTTACACTGCTCTATATTTTTTCCTGCTTCCCAGGGTACCCGCTGTCTGTGGTTGCCATTCTAGAGGAACGTCACATCCGTAGCATCCACTTCCTGCAGAGTTTGGCAGCTGCCAGTGATAAGACACCTTGTCCTGGTGCAGATCCTGCCTGCCCCGTCGTGCAGCTTCTAGTGCTGTGCACAGACAGCTCCTTATATTTGGTGAAAGCACCCAGGGCTGGGGAGTCCAGCATCACACTCCTGGCAGACAGGTGAGGTGGACTCGGACAGACTTCACTCCAGCCAAAGAAACCATGTGGTTTAGTGGTCAGGTCCAGCAGGAAGCTCCAGATTTCTGTGGAGTGAAGAAATCTGTACTGCTCTTACTCAGATAGCTCTGCTGTGGTGCTGTCAGCAGAAGTGTGGTTTTGCTAGGAGTCAGTTCCAGTGCTATGGCAGAATTAGGGGTGTTTCTGGGTTCTCCTATGCATCAGAACACAAGTGCTTGTAGCACTGCTCCAGGGCTGACGTTCAACTAGCTGAGTCTCTGCCAGGTACCTGGAGGATTTTTTTCTTCTCTCTTCTGCCCGTGCCAGAACAACTTCCCCCTAGAAGTCAGCATAAGCATTTCTTGCCATCTTTCCATCAATTTTATGTTCACTTATTCCCTTGATTTGAGAAGTGTCAACTTTGGGAAAGCTGCCGCTCTGAAGGCTGTGGTTTCATGTCTCCGTGGCAGGCAGAGGGTTTGTATCTTCTACATAGTTCCTAGGCAGAATTGCACAGGAATGGGCCTCAGGGGCTCCTGCCCAGGAGGAGCCAGGCTTTGTCTCCATAGGGAAGGGTCTTGGCTGGAAATTTGTGACAGCCTCAAACTGTGCCACAAACTGCCGTTGTCGTTATCACAGCCGTTCAGTATGTGCCAGGTGCATGAACCAGTGGCATAAGCCTGGGTCTGTTTTACAGGCCTGAAGATCCAAGTGTTGCTGTCAGCGCCGTGGTGCCTGTCCTGGCATTCCCCAGTGCTGTGAGTATTACTGCCAGCTCTCTTAAGAGCTGTGTGAGAACACAGGTCCATCTGGCTGAGGATCTGCTCCCAGTGATGGTTGTAACTGAGTGCCTAGAATATAAAGAGGGCAATCAGATACAGCACTGCCCCCACATTCTTTCCCAACCTCCAGCTATTTTTGCCATGGGGACTTCCTACAGCACTTAGAGGTCTGTACGTAGCCAGTCCCTCTCAAAGGATTTCTCTTCCATGATCTTACTCAGTATCCCCTTGCACCCGTGTCCTTTAGTTGACCACTGAAGTGGGAGGCACTGGAGGCCCTCTGCACATGGACAGGCCCAGCTGCAAACATGAGGGGATTCAGGCACAAAGCTTCAAGCATCAGGGTCAAAGATGAGAGAGGTGAAGAGTAACTTCATCATGGTGAGGAGAAGTTACAAGCACAAGTCCAGCCAGACCTTTGAAGTGGCCTCAGAAAGTTTTCAGGCATGGGGAGAAAAGGACAAAAAGCCTTTTGCCAGAGCCAGCTGTGCAGAAGCTGGATCTAGCTCATTTCTAACCTGCCCTGCTGCCCTTTTCCAATCCCAACCTGCAGCAATTCCAGCCCAAGTTCCCTGCACAGCTTGTTCTTGATCTGCTGTGGCCCTATGACTACTGGGCAGGCAAAGAAGACAGCATTGTAGCTGGGGATGCGAAGTCCTGAGTGTCATTTCATGTCCTGTCTGGGACAAACTTTCACTGCTTTTACATCTAAGTGTCAGCTTGCTGTTCCAGGCCCTGGTCTTCTCCTGGGATGGCAGAGTGTCCCTGATGAACACTGCCACATCACAGGTGGTTTTCTGCTTCTGCACTCCACCTTCTCAGGCTGTAGCGTCGCCCTGGCAGCCAGTGTTCACAGTGGACAGTGTGAACTGGGGCTTGCTGCTTCGAGGTGAGTAGCACCTTGGGGCAGTCTTGCATACATGGTCACTGGGTGCCTTCAGCTGCATGCTGACCTTGATAATTCCTCTTATTGGATGGCTCCTGATGCAATAGCCCACTGTTCTTGTTTCTGCCTAGGAGATAAGCAGCAGCAGGCAGGTGCATTGGCACAGAGCAGAGCCAGTCACAGCACCATCTTCCTTTTTGATTTCAACTCCTACCCACTGAAGGAGGCTTTCCCAAAGGAAGCAGATTTACCTCTCAAATCCTCGCAGAACCTGCCATGGATGGAGAGATGTAACATTTTCTTACGTGAGAGGTAAGGTTCTTCTGCCTGATAGGTAAGTGCATCGGCATTATTGTAAGCTGTGGTGTTGCTCAGGACCATGCAAGGTCTCACCCTGGAGCTTCTGGGTTCTTCTGTGTGCTGGGTAAGGTTGATGTTCAGGTAGCTGAATTCCTAACAGCCACTCAGGACCCTTCCTCCTCTCCTTTCTGCCCTTCCTAGAACAACTTAACAGCTGTAAGTCAGGATGCCAGGAGCAGACTTGTCACTCCAGGTAGAGGGGGCTTGCTAGTTCTAACGTGCTTTGGTGCAACAGATTGTGCATGGTCATGAATATGATCCTCACTGAAGTGTCTGCCTCTTCCTTTTGACCCCATAGCCAGGTAGAGCTGGGATCTTTGCACCTCGCTTCTCCCCTCCATTCCTAGGTTCGTTTGATGTTCAAGTAGATTTGTGTTGGAGGTTTCTCGGTTTGAGGAGCTCCCCAGCACCATCAGGCCGAGGTTGCAGTTGGAGCTGACCTGATGCATTGGGTCCATGCCGGCACTAGATGGCAATGTGACATCTCTTATTGGGTGAACTTTTCTGTGAATTCTTTTGTGGAGCTGGAGCCAGATCCGTGTCAATGATAATAGGGTTTGATTTTTTTCCCCCCCTCGCTGTGCCTTAATTCACCAGTTGGAGATGGAACAGGTGGGTGCAGCTATGACCTTACAGCACATGTTACCTGGTAGCCTTCCCTAATTCCTTCTCTCCAATGTGAATCCTGTGGTGTCATCTGGCTAGTTAAGTACAGAGAAGTCTCATCCTATGCTACAGGCCACCCATTCTGTGTTTCCTTCCTCATAAAGCTGGAGAGGAGACTCTTGTCTGCCTTATGCCAGTGAAACTGGGGAGACATCACCTCCCAGGATATCTTGCTCCCTGGGTGCTGAGAGCTGAAGCCAGAACAGAGCAAACACAACTGCAGTGAGACCTGTGTCTACAGAGGCTGACAGGCAAAAAGAAGTAGGGAAGTCACTGCTGTCAAAAGCAGTAAACCTGAGTGCTGAGTGGCACGGTGGAACCACCGTGGTATTTTGGACACAAAGTCTGAACTGCTTAATTTGTAATGAGCCCCAGGAACCCTTTGGGGAACCAAGCTAATGTCTGAGCACTGGGGGAGTGTGAGGGGCTGTTTTAACCACCCTTTTCTTCCCTCTTTAGGCAGCAGAGCCTGTCGGGACTCAGGGAGCTGTCACCTGAGTACTGGAGTCGGCTGCAGGCACAAGCAGTGGCCATGGACCAGGAGAGACAGAAAGTGAAGGGCCAGAAGAGGCCGTAGTCAGCCTCGCATCCTGAGGGCCAGGCTCTGCACTAGCACACTCCTGCAGACTTGTGATCCAGCACTGATATTTTGACAGCAACTCAATTCTGATCTATCCTGCTGCTTTCCAGCCTGGGGCACTTTGTCATCCGAAGTAGCTGCTCTGCCCACCACTGCTCAGGCACAAGGATCTGCATCCTGCCTCTCCCCTTACCTCACCCTCTGCTTGCTCCAGCAGGGCTCAGCCCCCCTCACCAGAGACAAACACTGCTGATGGAAGGGTCTTGAGGCAGGAGAGGCTGCTCATGGCCATGGCAGGCCCAACCCTTGTGTGGTAGCTAAGTGTTTGTGCTGGATCTCTGAGTCCTTCCAGAGACCTGGAGCATCAGAGCAGTTCAGTATGTTACAATGTCCTGCCCTAATAAAGTCTTTTCTCAAGTAAAAGTTGCCTTCATAGGGCTGGCATTTTATCAGACTCTGTTGTTCTGTCCTCCTCTTCCTGGGGCTCATCAATGTGTCTCATCTTCTGCCCTGACCCAGGTGGGCAGTCAGCAGCAGCCTTGTGCTTAGCAAGAGACCTGGTCTTTTCAAACCAGGCAGCATATTGGCCATGAAGGTGGCATCCCCCAGAGCACAGCAGTGCCAGCAGGCCTGACCTAGGCTGTTCCACCATCTAGTTGTTTCTTTTGAGTTCCAAACAGGCAGTTTGGAGATAAGACGCCTTAGGAATTGCAGCCTGGAAATGTGCAGACAAGCTTTCTGGGTTAAGGTCAGGCTACAAGTGGTGTTAGAGGCAAGAATTGATGTCAGTGAGGAGCAGGACAGAAGTCAGGGCTGTGCTGAGCCAAAGAAAGGCCAGAAGCACTATCAGCACATTGGTCAAAGGCCATAGAAAAGACCATAAGAAAGCCTCAGTCTTTTTACAACTGTTTGTGCCTAATCCACAAAGCCTCTGACAAACCTGTTGGTAACTACTCCGACCTGTGTGCATGGGTGAGCTGCATTTTTTCAGGTCTCCCTCTAGTCACTCCCCCAAAAGGTTCATCATAGCATCAGTGCAGGGGATTCAGCACAGCCTGAGCTGTGTAGCCACTCCCATCCCAAGGTCCCATTTCAGTTTTTCATAGCAAGTTGTCTTGGGTTGAGTTCTGATGAGAGGTTTCAGCCCCTCTGGAAATAGTCAGCCAGTCTGTGAGGGAGGTAGGAAAGGGGAGAAGTATCCCACTTGTTTCGCAGTCTCAGGTGCTTGGTTTTGCTCTGGAGAAGGACAAGCTATTTGAATTAAACCTTCCTATTTGCTACCTTTGTGAAGGGCTTTGAGGGCCACAGTGAAGGCTTTTGTGCTGTCATTTTCCATCTGGCACAGATTACAGCTTCACAGCTCATCTGATTGTCATGGCCATTGATACTGGGTTGTGTGAGCACTTGCCATCTGCTTCAGTGCAAAGTCAAGCGGGCTAGCTCCAACCACCTTCAGTGCCTGCCCAGACTCAGCCCCCTGGATCAGCACTGGAGTGAACAAGGAATAATCCTTGATCCTTTCTTCTGGTCTTGCTGTGGTGGGAGTAAAATTTTTTTTGTTTCTGTGGTATGTCACAAAACAATGGACCTTCTGCCATAACTGGGCACAGGGGGTTACTCAGGGCAGGAATTCCTGTTCCTACATTGCTTCCTGTACTGCAGAGGGCCAGCACAACTAATGCACGGCCCCTTGAACAGCCCTGGGTCTAATTCTCACGATTTATGCAGTTATAAAGGGCTTGGGAATCTGTGCCCTTAATCCTCCCCCATCTGCTTTCCATCCAGATGAGAAGCAGGGCTTGCCTAGCACCAGAAGGAGAGGCAGGACAGGATCTGCTCAACAGTTATATGTACTGTGCATCCACCAGTTTGGGTGTATTCATCTCAAGATGTACTTGTTTGTTTGCAGTCTGAATTTGCCCTAAAACTCTAGTCATGTGCTTGGCCAAGATAACCAGGAGCTGGCAGGCTCCACAGAGAAAAGAAAACAACAAGCAGCTGCAGGAGGCTGATGAAGAGCCTTTGTTTTTTCTCATGACTTCATCAGGGGACAATTTGTTTCCTGCTTCTTCAAAAGGATACAGAAAAAATGGTACTATCAGTGTGTTGGCATGTGTGTTGGTTGATGGAGGTGGGTGCTGAGCTCCACAGCATGTTCTGGAAAGGACCAGAGGCACTTGATTGCTTATTCCAAAGACAATGCCCTTGCCAGGTATTCTTCCATTCCCAGTCACTCTGTGAGCCTGAGGCAGATGTAGGTCTGAGCCAATTTGAGTTATTCTGGTGCTGACAACTATAGAAAGGCCTGAGAGAGGTATCATAAATATCACCATCAAAAGGTGAAACTGCAAGAGTTCTGGCTGGGCCAACTCCTAGCTCAGTGCCAAGCTCAGTGAACCCCGAGGTACTACCTGGGCATAAAAGGAGAAGTTTTGCTCTGTACTTTAAAACAGTAGAATAAAATTTAGAAATCTGTTGGCAGATTGAGGTGGCATGTGAGGGAAGAAGAGGAGCTGGGGTCCACAGAGAGGCGCTCGAGCAGCATCGTTCCAGCAGAGCCAGGTTCCTGCCCAGCCGTGGGGAGGGGAGGCTGCTCTTTAATCTCACTAAATTATCTGTTGTTCTCTGCAAGAAGCCAAATGTCATCTTACTTCTCTGCATGCTTGCTTGTGCTGTGGAAGTGGAGGAAATCAGAGGCTGATCTGATAAGATTCCCCCACTCCTGAGGGCCAGTGAGGGTTTTTGGGCTGTTTGTGTAAGCCACCTCTGTGCTGTTGGAGGGAGCCTGGTCCTCAGAGGAGCTGAAGTGTGGTGTGCTCTGGGAGCTGCACTCCTTGCACCCATGTTGCCAGCTTTAATGAACAACCCATATATCTTGTAGGGCCTCACCACATACCACCTGAGGCCATCCTAAGGAGGAATCTGTGAAGAGCTCTGTCCTGTCTGGGGCAAATAATGCCCCTGCAAGACACTGTGGGACATGTAGTGGTGCCTAGGGCAGGGCAGTCCCAGCAAGTGCTTGCTCTGTTTGCTCTGGAAGTTGGTACAACACAGGGTAAAGCTTCCTCCCTGCTTTACAAATATGTCTGGATATAGGTGAACCAGGTACCACATCCCATTCCCAACTGCTCAAAGAGCTTTTGTTTTCCAAACTAGTGTCACCTCATTACCTCTAGTGCCGGTTGCCTGTACCAGGGTACAGTTCCTCAGCTGCCTTTGAGTCCAGGCCGTAGCTGTCAAGTTGTGCTGTTTAGCCAAGCTATGCAAATTAACTCTTTTAATCTTCCCTAATGCACTGTGCCAGACATCTCAGTCTGGTTTAATTTGGGGTTTCTGCAAATCCCTTCCAGTTTGTTCGTGTTTCTGCTGCAGCCTGTCATTGCCCAGTGTTGCTGGTGCTGCTCTGTCTAGAGCCTGGTCCAATGTGCACGTGTGAGCTCGCACAGGGCACGGGGAGCCAGGTTCTGCTGCTCTTCAAACCTGATTTGCAAGAGCAGAACCATTGGCTGGGCTGAGAAGCGAGCTGTGCTTTCGAGGCCAAAATACAGGAGGAAGCTGGCTGAGCCTAGCTGAGGCTTTCCTTTCTGAAACATGATGACTATTTAAAAACATCCAGTATCCTAATTTTAAACTGCACATAATAGATGCCAGCACAAACTGTGGTAAATTGTCCTAGTTGTTAAACTACCTATGTCTTTTGAATTTTCACCCTGTTTCTAATCTGAATATGTCACGTTCCACCTTCCAGTCACTGGAGCTTGCTGGATCCCTGGGAGGTGGCAGAGTACACCAGAAAGAAATGTGGTTTGTGTGGTGGGACCGATAAGCCATGTTTGCACAGCAGATGTAGTGAGACTGAACAGCTCTTGGTGACCATGGTGGAGGAAAGTAGTAGGTTCAGGTTGGGTATGAGGGGAAATTTGTAGTGGCTGTGGAGGAAGTATTAACGTAGTTTTTCTGGGGAGTCCTGCAGTGTCCATCAACAGAAGTCTTCTCAAACACCTGCCAGGAATGCCATGATATAGACCTTGCCCTGGCCAGGGGGATTCACCAGTGTGAGGGGAAATCTTGAGTTCCTTCTAGACTGAATTTCCTGTGATTCTCAATTTCTAGAAACAAAATGGTCTGAGTTCCTGGAGCTGTCCCCATGTATTCTGTGCTTGGGTCATTGCTCTCCATGAAGGCTATCACATACTCCTAGTGTGGGTGAGGAAAATGAGGAAAGCATTTCCCCCAGGTCATGGGGTGGTGTGAAGAGGGAACAGGAAAGGGGAGACAGACCACGGAAAAGATTTGCAATTGGTTAGATGAGAATAGAATGCTCAATTCCACTGCTAGCAGCTTTTGCCCTTTATGGATCTCCCCATGACAGACTGCTGGTAGAGACTGGGGCAGTGGTGGTGGATGAGACAGGACTAAACAGATCTGCCAGGTTGTGCTTCCCTCTTGCTTCAACAGCACTTACCCTTCCCAGTGAGGAGCAGGCAGTGCATACTCAGTTTTGTCATCTCTTTTTTTTTATTTTTTGCTTTTTTTTTTCCTCGTGGAAGTTCATATTTTAGTAATTAATTTTCTTAAAAATATTTCTGCTAAAAGCATTACCAGAAGGTCCCTTGACACTGGTAAATGTTGCAAAGGCTGAATTGTGTTGATCAGCATTGTGGACAAGCACCCTTCCTGCAGATTAAATCACAGCCAGTGCTGCTGAGTGGAGTAACAAGGGGTAAAGCAGGTATGAGTGATAAAAGGAGGAAGCCCTGAGTTATTTTGCTTTGCTATGATCACTTTAATCAGTGGTTTTCAGGAACAAGTTGTATTTTTCTTCAGTGCACATTACCAATGTTGTAAATCATTGTTCCTCAGGCATCAGAGAGGCTGAGGTTATTTACTTGTTGGAACCAGAGTGAACAGATAGAGACTTACACAGTTCCTTTACAAAGTTAATCCAAATCAAAAGCCTTCCTCTGTATATTCTCCATCTCCTGAGGGAAAAACCT